GGGAACTGGTCTCCACATGGGATCCGAACCCTCGGCGGGAGCGCCACTGCGCTCCCAAGTGCTGCACTCTCCAGTGCACCACTGGGCCGGCCCAATATTTTTATCTTTTAAAAAACCAACTTTTGGTTTTATTGATTTTCTCTATTGTTTTTCTATTCTCTAGTTCATTCACTTTCATTCTCATAATAATTTTCTTCCTTCTGCATGCTTTTAATTACTATTCTTTTTCCAGAGTCTTAAGGTGGAAGATAAGGTTATTGATTTGAAATCTTTCTTTAAAAAGAAAATTTCATTGTGTGTATCTGAGGTATAGAACATGATGTTGAGATATATATACACTCGTGTGTATGTATATAAATGGTTACCATAGTGGAACAAATCGACACATCCATTACTTCACATAATTACCCATTTTCCCCCTCTGTGGCAAGAGCAACTATAATCTACTCATTTAGAAAAAATCCTGAATATAATACATTGTTATTAACTATAATCCTCATGTAGTACATTAGATCTCTTGAATTCTTCACCCTACATTCTTCTTTTTCATAGAGGCATTTACAGATATAAAGTTCTTTCTAGGCATGGCTTTTGCTGCATCCAATACATTTTGGTATGTTATGTCTTCATTTTCATTCATCTCAAAATATTTTCTAATTTCCCTCATGATTTCTTTCTTAACCCAGTAGTTGCTTAACAGTATGTTCATTTCCACATATCCTTAGGCTTCCCAAATTTTCTCTTTATTTTTAATTTTGTTCCATTGTGGTTGGAGAACGTATTTTGTATTATTTCTATCCTTTTTAATTTATCAAGGCTTGTTTTATGACTTAGCATGTGGTTATCCTGGAAAATGTTCTATGTGTACTGAAGAATGTATATTCTGCTGTTACTGAATGGAGGGTTCTACAGATATGTTAGGTTTAGTTGATTTATAATGTTGTTCAAGTCATCTATGTTCTTGTTGATCTTCTGTCTTATTGGCCTGTCCTTTATTGGAAGTTTTTTTTGAGGTCTCCAACCATCATTGCTGAATTGTTCATTTCTCCTTTCATTTCTCCTGGTTTATACTTCATGAATTTTGGTGCTCTGGTGTTAAGTTCATATACATTTATAATTGCTATATCTTCCTGATGGATTGACCCTTTTTATCATTATAAAATGTCCCTCTTTATCTTTAGTAGATTTTTTTGTTTTGAAGCCTATTTTATCAGACATTAGTATAGTCACTCCAGCCTTCTTACCGTAGCTGTTTGCATAACACATCTTTTTTACATCCCTTTACTTTTAATCCATTTGTATCTTTGAATCTAAAGTGTGTCTTGGCCCCTGCCAGACCGGATGGACCAGGCGCAGCACAGTGATGCTCCACTCCCCTGCAAACATGGCGCAGTGAGTGGTGCAGAGCATGCGAGCTGAGATCTGAAGCCTGTGCATGTCCTTGGCACCTGCTGCACCCTGCTTGCTGCACCCCTCACAGCTGACAGTGGGCACCCTCTAGATGCTGCACACAGGACCTGCTCTGCTCTCAATGCATAAATGCACAGACAAACATGAATGGATAACAAAAGAAAATGGTATTAGAACAGTGGGAATCAGCAATTTTGCACAGGTAGATTTGGGAGATGTTGTTTACTGTAGTCTGCCTGACGTTGGGACAAAATTAAACAAACACAATGAGGTTGGTGCTTTGGAAAGTGTGAAAGCTGCTAGTGAACTCTATTCTCATCTATCAGGAAAAGTAATTGAAATTAATGAAGCTCTTACAGAAAATCCAGGACTTGTCAACAAATCTTATTATGAAGATGGTTGGCTGATCAAGATGACACTGAGTAACCCTTCAGAACTAGATGAACTAATGAGTGAAGAAGCATATGAAAAATTCGTAAAATCCATTGAGGAGTGAAAATGGAAACCCTAGATAAACTAGTATTAAATAACTAAAAAAATAAATAAAGTGTCTCCTATATACTGCATATAGTTGGGATCTTATTTTCTTATCTAGCCTGACAATCTCTGCCTTTTAATTTGATAATACATTCACATTTAATGTTATTATTGATATAGTTGAGTTTACTTCTGCCAGTCTCTTTTGCTTTCTTTCTTTAAAAAAATTTTTTTAATTTAAACATAATTATACATATTTGTGGAGTACAGAGTTGACCATCAGTATTTGTGTTTAATATCTGATGATCAAGTCGGATTAATTGGCATATTCATCCTCACAAAATGTAAAAACAAAATTTTTTTTGCCACACAACAAGTCTTAATACGTTTAAAAAAGACTAAGATAATAGAATATATATTGTCTGACCACAATAACAGAAGGGAATTTAGAAAATTCACAAATGTGTGGAAATTAAACAACACTCTTCTAATTAAACAATGGGCAAAAAGAAAAGTCACAGGGAAATTAGAGAGTACTTTGAGATAAAAGTCAAAGAGCAACATATCAAAATTTATAGGGTGTAGGGCTCATGCAGTGCTTAGAGCAAATTTTATACTTGAAAACACCTATAATAAAAATAAGAAAAATCTCAAATCAGTAATGTAAACTTCTACCTTAAGAAAATAGAACAAGAAGAGCAAACTAAACCAAAAGCAAATATAAGTAGGAAATAACAAAGATTACAACAGAAATACATGAATTAAAAAACAGAGAAAATCAACAACACCAAAAGCTGATTCTTTGAAAAGATCAACGAAATTTGTAAATCTTTATCTAGACTGACCATGAAAAAGAGAAGACAGAAATTACTAAAATCAGAATTAAAGCAGGGAAATTATTACATTGTCACGATAGTTTTTTGTGGTGGTAAGGTTTAGTTTCTTTCTCTTTCTCATTTGCATTTTTTTTTCTACCTAGGGTTTTATTCTTTCTTGTGCATTCATGGTAGTGATTACTGTTTTCCGGTTTCCAGACGCGGGACTTCCTTGGGGATTTCTTGCAGGGCTGATCCTGTGGTAGTGAACTCCCACAGGTTTTTGTTTTTTTGGTTTTTTGTCTGGAAAATGCACTATTTCTCCCTCATTTCTGAAGGATAGTCTTGCTGGGTGTAGTATTCTTGGATGGCAGGTTTTCTTCTTCTAGTATTTTGAATATATCATCACATTTTCTTCTGTCCTATAGTTTCTTTGAGAAATCTGCTGTTAGTCTGATAGGGGGTCCCTTATAGGTGACTTGATGCTTTTCTCTTGCTTCATTTAAGATTGTCTCTTTGTCTCTGAGCTTTGCCAATTTTACCCTAATGTGTTTTGGAGAGGATATTTTGGGTTGAATCTGATTGGGGATCTTTGAACCTTCTGGATCTGAAGGTCCATGTCTCTCCCTATACCTGGGAAGTTTCCCATTATTATTTCATTGAATAGGTTTTCCATGCCTTTTCCTTCCTCACTCCCTTCTGGAACACCCATGATTTGAATGTTTGTATGCTTAAGGTTGTCTGCTAGCTCTCTTAGATGATCTTCATTTTTAAAAATTTTTTCTTTTTCTTTTTTTTTTGTCTGCCTGGGTTATTATCTTCAAGATCAGAAAACATTTTCTTCTACTTATTCTAGCCTGCTGCTTAAACTACTGATTGCTTTTTATTTTGCTGAGTGAATCTTTCAGTTCCATGAGTTCTGCTACATTCTTTTTCAAGGTATTAAGCTCTGTAAATTTCCTCCTTCATATCCTGGATTTTTTTTTTTTTATCATTTCATTATGTTGTCTAATTGAGTCTTCTTGTATTTCAGTGAGTTTCCTTAAGGTTGTTGCTCAGAATTCCTTTTCAGTCATTTCAAGGTTTTCCTGCTCCATAGGGTCTGGTATTTAAGAATTATTGTATTCTTTTGGTGGTGTCATATCTTCTTGGGTTTTCATATTTCTAGTATCTCTACATTGATGTCTGGTCATCTGGTAGAGCAGTTGCTTTTTCTATTACTGTGGAGTGGGCTTTGAGGAGAGAGATGTCCTCTTCTTTTTCCAGTATCCACTGGTGACTCTCCTTGGGTCAATGCAGTCAAGTCTCTGGCAGGCTGCCTGCACAGTGGTTGTGGCTACTGCTGTGGGATCAAGCTGCTTTTGAGGCAGCTGTGGCTATGGTGGTGGCTGTGGTGGGCCACTCACATAGGAGTGGTATTTTTGATGTGCTCTCTTGCCTGCTTCTATGCAGAGGGAGCTGCCCTCAGCTCCTGCCTAGAACCTTCTGTGCTGCTCTCTTGCCTGCTGCCTGGTGGAGGGCGCTGGCTGCCCTCGGCTCCTGCCTGGGACCCTGGGTGCTGCTCTCCTATCTTTTGCTTTCTATTTATCTCCTGTCTTTTTTGTTCATTTATTCCCCCTTTACTGTTTTCTTTTGCGTTAAGTAAATATTTTCTGATATATCATTTAATTTTTAAGTGATTTTTTTTTACTATGTATTTTTTGAGTTATTGCCTCAGTTGTTCCCCTAGGGCTTACCATATACATCTTATCAAAATCCGCTTCAGATTTATACTAACTTAATTCTAATGATATAGAAACATTACTATATAGTTCCATTATTCCCTGTTCCCTCTTTTTGTGGTATTATTGTTATACATATTACATCTATGTATGTTACAAGCCCAGTAATATATTTTTATAATTATATAACTTCATATACTTTTATGCTTTCTTAAAAAGGTGAAAAAAGAAAATACAGAAAAAATATATTTATAGCTTTTGTAATACTCATATCAGCCTTATTTCCCATTTCGGGTTCCCTTCTTTTGTTCCTGTGGATTCAAGTTACCATTGAAAGTCGGTACTTTAGTCCAATACAGCTTTGCTTCCACCCTACTCCTTTGTGTTGTTATTGGCAAATATATTACATTCCTATGTTATAGGCCCAGTTATAAAGTTATATCCATATTGTTTTTTTTTTTTTTATCTTTTTTCCGTGTCCGGCAACGGATCGCAACCCTCAGTGTTGCCCCTGTCCCGGACCGGGACCGGCAACGGGATCGCAACCCTCGGCGCTGCCCCCGCGCCTCGCTCAGCCAGTGAGCGGGAACCGGTCTGTATGTGGGATCCGAACCCTCGGGCGGGAGCGCCGCCGCGCTTCCCAAGCAGCGCACTATCCAGTGTGCCACCGGGCCGGCCCATATCCATATTGTTTTATTTGATTGCTTTTTAAATTAGTTAAGAAAAGAAGGGAAGAGAAATATGCATTTATGCTATCTCTATCTATGCTTTTTGTATGTGTGTAGATTTGAATTATTGTCTGGAGTTACTTGCTTTCAGCCTGAAGAACTTTCTTTAGTATTTCTTGTGAGGTAGGTCTGCTAATAATGAATTCAGTTAATTTTTATCTGGGGATTTCTTCACTTTGCCTTTTTTTTTTTTTTTTTTTTTTTTTTGGTGGCTGGCCAGTACAAGGATCCAAACCCTTGACCTTGGTGTTACAAGGCTGCACTATAACCAACTGAGCTAACTGGCCAGCCCTTCCCTTCTTTTTTTGAAAGACAATTTTGCTGAATATAGGATTCTTGGTTGACAGATTTTTCTTTTGAGCACTTTGAATATGTTTCTCCCACTGCCTTCTGTGCTCCACTGCTTCTGATAAGTCAGCTGGTGGTCTTATTGGGGTTCTCGTAGGTGATTAATTTTTCTCTTGCTCCTTCAATGCTTTCTCCTTGTCCTTGGCTTTTAGTATTTTTACTACAATATGTGTATTTGTGGATCTCTGCATTTATCCTGTTGGAATTTGTTGAGTTCCTCGGATGTGTAAAGTTTTTCATAAAATTTGGGATTTTTTTAAAGCCACTATTTCTTTGAATATTTTTCCTTTTTGTTTCTCTGTCTCCTCTCCCTTTGGCACTCCCATCTCATTTATATTAATAAGCTAATTGTGTCCCATATTTCTCTGAGACTGTTCATTTTTCTTCATTCTTTTTTGTTTGTGATATTACTTTTATAAAAGAAAATTAGGAGAGGAAAAAAGATGGAAGAAACATAAGAATGGAGAATAATTACATGAAGAATCACTTTGGGGAGCTTGTGAGATGCTCATAATTTCATGGCATCTGCCCCACAACATAAAGTGCTGCAGTTGTTGCTCATTATCCAGGTGTTCATGTTTAATACACTGTGAAGAGAAAAAGGTGGCCATCAAATCAGCTTATTTAAATCTCCATTCTACTCAAAACTTGAGGCTGCCCAGATTTCATCAGAACTCACTTGGGTTCATGTCTACATCAGTAAGCCAGTACACATTTCTATAGGGAGAAACAGACAGACTGGTTTTGAGAGCCCACAACAAAGTGTTTATGCCACAGCCTCTATTTGTTGAGGCTCTAACAGGTGCAGATCAAAATGATGCCAGGCTGAGGGAAGTCCAGATCTCAGAGATACCATACACAAGCATGAACTTCAAGAGGAACATTTCTTGGTACCAGCTGCTCCAATCACTGCCCTAGGTACTGAGGTTGCAGTGGTGATCAAGAAGACCAGGTCTCTGCTCTTGTTGAGCTCACATTCTAGCATGGAAGACAGATTGTGAACCAACAACAAAAAACTCCAGAAAATATCAGAGTAAGAATGTCAGGTATGCATAGACATAAACTATGATGATGTGATAAGAGTCACTTGGGTGGCTATTTTATAATGGGCACACAGGAAAGTCCTCCTCTGAGGAAATGACATCTAAACTAAAACATGAATTATAAGAAAGAGTCTTCTAGACAGTGGGAATAGCTAATGTGAAGGAACTGAAAGGTGAGAATGAGCTTATTTATTGGAGGAACAGGTAGGCTATGACTGGAATGTAGTAAGCAAGAGGGAAAAGGAGGTCTGAGAAACAACCAGTGGCTTGGACATGTAGGATTTTGCAAACCCAAGTTATGGAGGTTGGATTCTATTCTATTCTTAATGATATGCTATCGGAGTGTTAAGTAGAGAAGTGATGT